TTTCAGGCGATAAATCCATGGATTACATTAGTGCCAAACACATTGAGCTCCATTATAGTTGAGTAGCCCTTGGATGGCAAACTCAGGCTTATTCTGCAAAAGTTTGGGGCCTGCAAAAAAAGTTTTAAAAGAATATAGAACATTGCATCCAGGGCAAAATCAGAAAAAATCCTGGTGATTTTTTCTAAAAGCCCAGAAAATTTCACACATAAAATTCATCCCCAAGGCTGATCTTTTTATTTTCATCCCCTGGCTGGATTAGTTTTGTTACAAGAAGACTCTCAATCCTTTCATTTTTGGCACTATAGAAGAAGGATTTGTGGCAAAAGTCCACCTTTGGGAAATCTGAACACAAAAATTTTCCAGGACAAAGTCCAACTTTGCCTCAACCCAACTGCCTGGGATTTCATGTCCTTGAACAAAAATGAAATACAGGCCCACCCAAGAAAATCCTGTCTTAGTCCTGCAATGGGAAAGAACTATTTACCACGGAGGGGTTAAGCTGCTCATTGGTGGCAGAAATGAGGCTGTCCCACAAAGTGATTCAATTTGAAGACCTGCGTCACATTGTTCTTCAATGTCTGAAACAGCCAGAAGTCACAGGGTGACAAATAAACCAATTTAACTTGATTTTTTGCACTGATGTTTTGATCTTCATATTTTTTTTGTTGCAAAAATGCATTGAAATTAGCGGAGAGTATGTTGAACAGCGCTGAAGTGTTACCAAATGATGGGACTATGCCAGTAGGAAACATTTTGGCATTGCTGAAGCTCTGTTGGATCTACAGTGAGACCCCAAGATGTGGACGTAATTGGTGCATCAAGAGTGTCCCCACGTCAAAATGTCCCTAAGTTGAGTCTTGTTTTCCCGTAGACATACATTATATAATATTTAATCGGTGTTTTGTGGAAGAAATATTCTTCAGAATTCCCTAAAAAATTGTTTGCCGCTTGAATTTGAATTAGTGATGTTATCCTATTTAGCTTATTTTTAATTTAGAATAACTAAAAGATTCCAAGAACTTTTCTTACATCAATTTCAGGGTTGGAAATATCTGTTTCTTGTAATTTTGCCTGAAATTTATTTGCAATTCTCTCACAAAATGTCCCTATGTCAAGTCAGTGTCCTCATGTTGGGCCATTTTTATTAATTTTTTCTGGGAAGTCCCTATGTCGAATTTTCTACAGGTCAAGGTGTCCGCATGTGGGGGTCTCACTGTATTTCAAAAAGTCTGTAACTTATGAACCAACCCTGGTATGTATATAAAGTATATATATATTTCTTGCAACAAGTTCTTTTCCTTCTGTGCCCTTCTGTGTCCATCATTTTATGTTCCCCATCATTGATGCAGGCGTTCATCATTGCTTGGCGATTTTCATCTGTTTCCCTGCAGCAGAGAAAAAATGCTTCAAATGTCGTAACTTCATTCCCATCCTTAGCCACTCTTGAAACATCATTATGTATCTTGTCTCTTTTTTTCACTGATTTCCTTAAGCAACTGCCAGAAAAAAAGAGATTATTTCAAGTGCCGAATTGCCTAAATTTGTGACTAAAAATTATTTGAGCGCATAAGAAAACAAGGCTTGTGTTATTTTGGGGGGAATCAGAGAATGCACTGGAAAAAATGCAGTGAAGCTTTTTTCTCCTATCTGAACTTTTGTTTTGATTACAAAGCACAGCCTCCATTGCACAGAGAGAAGCACTGCTTTATAATTATTTCCTTTTTATCTTTACATATTTTATATCTGTGTTATTAATGAATGAATGAACAGAACACTTTATTTGCTGCTTTTCAGCGTTCACAAGGTTCAATCAAGAGTTCCACAACCAAACCCTGTGTTATCTGTGTTATTAATGAATGAATGAACAGAACACTTTATTTGCTGCTTTTCAGCGTTCACAAGGTTCAATCAAGATTTCCACAACCAAACCCTGTGTTATTTGAATTTGAATTTGAACAATTATATTTTTGAACCTTGATAAGTTGCACCTCCCCAAGTCAAATACATCTCTAATTCAAATTTTCTTCAAAAGGCTGTCTGAATCCCCTTAGCAACAATGCATTAAAAGCCTCCCTAGCGCAAAGGCTTTTCCTTTCAAATCTCTGTAAGTCAAATTTTCTGAAACCTCTTGGATATTATTTTCTTGACCCAAGAAAAAGAAAAGAAATAAATCAAGTAACTTGATGTGTTTTGAAAGAATGTGAAAGACTAGGTGAGCAAATGAACCCCTGCCTCAAAGTTCAGCATGCTTTGAATTCTTCTAAGAAGGAATTGAAGGCCCAGAATATCACCATTAACAATTTCCTGCAATTCTCCTAAATTTCCCACAACAAAAATGCTTTTTTCCCTAATTTAAATCCTACCTCCCTCAGTAAAAATCTTTGAAAGTCAAATTTGTTAGTTGGTTCCTGGAAATTTGAAAGAGGGTTCAACTGTATTTGTTTTTATTCACTTGTGTTTTGCATTTTGAGCGTTCTTTGTGCATTGTATCATTTTTTGTCATCAAATTATGAAAAAAAATCATTCAGAGAGATATTTGAACTAAGGTGTTATCTTGAATTTATGTGCTTGGCTGTGCAAATTGGCTGATGCTGGTGCTTCATTTTTTCAATGGGCCATTATCATTCATTCTTTTTTAAAACCCAAGGTAACTACGGGTTGTCGTACAGAATTTTTTTAGGGAACGGTTTTTTTTCCGTCAACTTCATGACATGTAATTTAATTTTGGTGTCGTGGGTATTTTTTACCATGGGTTATATATATTTGCTAACCTCAACTCATTTCAAAAGATGTCCTTGGAGCAAGCAGCATTATTATACAAGCTATACTGACCTAATTTTCGAAATTTCGTTTTTTTATTTTGGTGACAGGCGTTGATCTGAAACTCGACGTTTTTTGGGACCATCCCTTTTAAACCCCGGCTCAAAGTAAACTTCTTGCCGCAATGTTCGCCTATTTAAAAAAAATCATATGCGGAACTTTCGCGTGCAAAATAATTCGCATGCGTACATTGGGGTACTTGAGGCGGGGCAATGGGGTACACAGTTTCGCTACCCGGATTGATGGGTGTAATCTGAGAAGAAAACCATTGGGGCAACAAGCCGTTTATTCCATCCCTTCAAGGGCTTTGAAATGCTAATGCGGTACTTGGAACAGCCTCATGAAATTCTAAAAAGTGAGATCGGAACTGTTTTGTTTTTCCGCACATATATATATTTATTTATTTATATATTTTTTGAATATTATCCCATCAGGATGCATTACTTTTTTTTTAATATATTTTCAGACTTCTGCGGTATTGATGGGATGTGTGCAATTTAAAGCCCCCCACGGGAAAGAAAGTACAAACTGCGGGACACGATGTTGCTTTAATTATCAAGTGGGTGCATTACTTTTTTTAAAATATATTTTCAGACTTCTGCGGTATTGATGGGATGTGTGCAATTTAAAGCCCCCCACGGGAAAGAAAGTACAAACTGCGGGACACGATGTTGCTTTAATTATCAAGTGGGATATTTTGAAACGCCGAAGGATGCTTCGAACATACAAAATCATTTTCGTGATGGAGCAATAATCGCAATTCGGACGGATTATTCCATTAAGATAAGCAGCATTTTTAAAGCTTCTCTGGATCAGTAATTCAGTATATACATGATTTTTAAATTGCATTCCTGTATTCATTCACTGGAGAATGACAGCCATCAGGAGCAGGAATATTTGAACTAAATTTAAAAATATTCGTAAACTCGTCCATAAACTGAAACTAATCATTCATTCCAGAATATTGCAGACAACTTCGTACCAGAGTATGAGTTTTTTTATAGAAATTTAATGCGGTTACTTATCACGTACACAACACATACATTATGTTACGTCATGTCATACTAATTTACATCCAGTTATAAACCTTTCAAAATGCGTTCACATACTGTCTGTAAAAATTAGGAAATCCTCTCAAATCATCGACATTGAAGAGATTTCCGATTTTTGGAATTATATATCCTGCTCTCTTATTAATAATACGCATTTCTAATCGTTTGTAAAAGTAATGCTTCTCTGAATCAATACAAACGAATCTTTATTTATATTACTACAAATATACTCACCGGAGAATGACAGCAATAAGCAGCATCAGCATTTGAACTCAATTTAAAGTAATGATAATTCCTACTTGAATGCATATGAACGGTACATTACCATCAAATGATCTCCGTACCGTACTGTACATTAATTTCAGCTGTATGTGTTTACACTTTAATAAGAGATTACATAGAAATTGAATAATTCGTTGATTCAAAGCTGCATGCCATGCTACGCCGAATTTTTAAAAATCAATTGAAAAAATATGAGATCTTGTACATTAATGCTAACGAAAACTCAGAGTAGCCTCTGTCGATCAAAGCAAGGAGAGCGTGGTTTTGATTATCTTTTTCAGACTAGATGTCGCTCGCTGCGATGTGTGTCCGACGACCTAAGCATCCGTGAGTTGATAGACCACATGAATGGTTTTGAGTCTTTTTACAGTGCAGTATTTGGTTCATATTAGAGATGACATCGCCCATTTTTAATGAATCATTGTTATACAAGTTCCTCTGGATAATCAAATTGTTTAACAAAGTATCATGAGCAGGAGGTTCATTTACGAAATCATTTGTCGACAGAAATCATCCGAATGAATTGAGATAGTCATGTGGTCAGGAATTGCTGGAAAAGTTCATTCATTCGGTTTTGTTTCTCAAATTTTGAATATCTTTGTGCATTGAATTTTGGACGCATTTCAGATCATTGTGCTAATTATAAGTGAAATTAGCTCCGAGAAACGGAATGACATAATGAAGAGGTGAGCATTCCTGATGACTTTTAGGATCATGCACGAAATCAAACAAAAAATTCTTCTTCGGCAGAAAATAAAAATTTCGAACAGGCAAAGTCCATAGCTCAGCATCATTAAAATTTCAAGGATTAACAATTAACACAGAAAGAACAACATGCCAGCATTTTCTCCATGATGCGAATTGTATTTCAGGCGCCAACTTTTTTCAATTCATGAACTCTTTTCTCTTTCTACACCATCAAAACATTTTTTCCCATTTCCCAAGTGTTCTGCGTATATTCTTTTCTTGCTTTCCCGGAAGAACAAACCTCGAGATTCATAACTTTGACAATAACGAACAATTTTTGCAACAACGAACCCAAAGAAGAATGATTCGATTTCTCTTCAACAATTCTTTCAAGTATCGGGGTTGCACGAAACGAATCAATCCGCCTCTGAATAATATTAAAAAAGAAGAGGATACGAATGAATTACACAATCAATCTAACAAACTTTTCGAAACATTTTTGGTAACTCTGAAAAAAAAAACATGCCAATGATGCATCATGCTTTTTTAAATCTGATTTCAAAGCCGATATACATATACCCACGCAAAGCAACCTCATGGAATACTTACAAAAACGTCAACAAATGTATCTACAAAAAACATAATTTAACCGATCAAAATTATCTTGATATATCATGAGGAACAAAATCAAATTCCTTTTGTGATTTGCTATACATGACTTATTGGTTAAAAAGCAGATGGAGTTCGTGGAAAATAGAAGAAACGAACGTCTTCAGGGTTTTTGCGGATTCCTCCAATAACACACCTAGGACCATGTTGAAATTTCAAGTGATTCAAGTAAGAAAAAAAGAAAAAGAAAAAGGCAAGATGATTTCCAGCAAAGCGAGGGCCTTGATGAGGATATAGTCGAGGATTTGAAACAGTGTCCGCATCAGGTGGGTTCCAGAGATGTTGCAAGATTTAGTAATAATCGCCTGATGCTGTTGACCAGCCTCAGGCGGTTCTTGCAGCCTGAGGCGCCTGTGTTGCTGCAAGGAAAGGAAAATTATATCTGATACAGTGTATTCCTTTCAATAATGCAAAATAAACTTTGTCATTCAATTAAGAATCATTTTACAACTGCCACAAGTTAATTGCTTAGAGAGGATTTTGTTCACAGGAGAGGGGAAAAATTACAGGTGGTGGAATTTATTGTCATTGTTTTCAGAAGATATATTATAGCTGCTAATTCGCACCTGCTTGTGTGTGTGCTTTTTTCTTTGTGAATTTAATGCACTTCAGCAGTTTTATAACCATGTTTATGATTTAGTTTTGGTCCCCTGAAGATTGAGTTGAATTCAAAGTTCCAGTCAAACTTCAAGGGAACAGCAAACAAATTGAAGTTATCAAAGCTTCCATCAGTTAGAGAAACATGCATTTTATTTTCGGGGTAAGTAAGAACAATTGCAGTTGATTGTAATTGGTGACATTTGAGGCCTTAATTTGCCAAAACTGAGCTGACATAGGATACTGAACTTGGAGGCAAGGGGTTTTTCCCAATTACTTTCTTGATTCCTTTCATGCATAACCAATATAATTTAAATTTTTATTTCTTTTCTGTTTCCTGTGTCAATGAAATACAGTTTAACATCTCTAATTTGAATTTCGAAGAACCAGCAATAAAATTCAACTTAGAGGGCTTTCAACTTGGAGATGTTTTGAGTTACAGTGGCCCCCCGCCTAACAGACATCCCGTGTAAGGGATTTTTGCCAAACAGACCAGCTCTGCAAGCAGTTTTTCCTCCCGGCCAACAGACAAAATCCACCAAACAGACTTCTTTTGGTTTAAAATTAGTGTTGAAAATTGAAATTTTTAATTTTTTATGTAATTGAATTTGTGTAAAGGGCTTTTTGTCTAACAGACTTTTCCCTTGCACGAATCAAGTCCGTTAGATGGGGATTGACTGTATTTAGTATTAGACATATTCAACTTGGATTCCAGCATTTTTATTGTGGGAAACACTGAAGAATTGCAATAAATTGTATATTGTGATATCCTGGGCCTTGAGCTGTTTCTAAAATTAGTTGAAAGTGCACTCAACTGGGAGAGAGATTAATTTTCCCAATTTAGTCTATCACATTCTTTCAAAATGCATCAAATTCCATTTTCTATTGTTTTTTCTTTTCTGTTCAATAAAATAATATCATAAATGCCTCAAAAATGTGACTTACGGATGCTTTGAAGGAAAAGCCTCCCAGTTAGGGAGGTTTTTAACTCTGCTAAATGTTGTGGTACTGGGCACTGGAAATGTAAATAAAAAACCTACTTGTGTACCAAGGCTTAAGGTGGGAAAAAGTGCCATGTTATTTTCTAATCTTGCAGAAATTTTTGAATGAAAAATGAAAAAAATCCCTTGCTGGATGGCAGCTTTTCCTGGCATAGGATTTGCATGGGAAAATCCCTAAAACAATAGAAAATTTGCCTCATCCTGGATTGTTTCCAACTTAGGCCCTCTCAACCTGTGCTCATTTCAGTGACCTTGGATCAAACTGAAATGTGCTACCCTCAGAAAAAATTCCACCTCCACTACCTTGAACTGAAAACCTCTGCCTGTCCAAGGGTTAATGCATTGTTTCTAAGAGAATACAGACAGGGACTAAGAAAAATTCAACTTGAGGTTTGACATATGGGTTCAACTGTAATAGCCAAAATGAATGCAGAGATTTGAAGGGCCCCCGGTTTTTTTTTTTTTTTTTACAAATTTCCAAGTATTGTTCCATGTTAAATTCAGAAAAGAACTTGAATTTGGACATATCATAGGGAAGTGGTTGGCTTAGATGGGTATGTTTTCTTCGATAGGAGTGGAAACCCAGCGTCGCTTATACATAAAAATTCTAAATCACGCCTGAAATTGATGTGTAATACATCGAACTTCCAGTAAGCCCCTCCGCATTGTTAAACGACATTGTTTTGTCAATTCCAAAAATGCATAGCAACAACAAAAAAGGCGTATTTAGCGTATATTAAAGATATGCCTCTATTTTAACATTCCCACAACTTTCGAAATAAAATACTTCCGAGTTCAGACTGCGTGTTTCACTTCGGTAATCAATTTAAGAATCCAAATTTAAGGAATGAAACAGCAGCGAAGTATTGCGCACCTGTGAGGTATCCCATGTTGGCGCCAAGGGGCGACCTCTCGTTGCGGCGCATGAGTTCGACAGTCGCTGGGTCCGTGTTGTGCATTTCAAAGTCCGGCTCAACGAGGGCGCCTCTGAGCGACGCCAGGAACGACTGGATCTCCTTCGTGTCCTCCGGTGACCTGATGAACGAAGCCGGGTTCACGGGCCCTTCGAACCCGTCCAGGTCTCCTGTCCCGCCATCTCTCTTTGTCTCGGACATGATCCGTTGCCAGGGAGATCTTCCATTCCTGCCGAACATCACGGATGACGAGTCAGGGCCACGCTTGCCTCGCATGCCCACGAATCTGTGGATTTGAACGCCTCATCATGAAATTTAAATTGTAGGCTATATGTGAAAAATTATAGGTCGTATACTTCTGAAGTTTGAGGAACATTTTCAGGTGAGACAATGCTGTGGATCTTATGGGCATAGCAATACATGACGGGGAGACCTCAACATGCGGACACCGCAACCCATGGGTAAATCGACTTAGGGACACTTTAAACTCGGGAAAAAAATCTGACCCTACATCCAAACCATGGCTTGAGATAGGGACACTTTGTCAACCTTTTTTTTTTAGAAAAATCCAAAAAAGATATCTTAATTTTTATATCTCTTGAACAAATTGAGCTATGATGCACTTGAATTCACAAAAATTGAAAATACATTTGATTGTGAACTTTACTCTCATACATCATCAAAGGAGGCTGGTTTGCTGTTTCTTTATACTGCACAGAGATTTTTCTATCATCCATGCTGCTTACAGCAAGACTTATTCTTGTTCTTTGAGCTCATTTTGCCAAAAGAAGAACAGAATCTCTGTTGTCTTCTTCTGCACAGTTGTTTTATGAATCTTGTAGTTGAGGGAAACAATACTTATTTCATTTTTAGGGACTTATTCCTAACTTTTGATAACCAATAAAAATGTCTGCACTGAAGTTTATTAAAAATAATAAGAGGTAACATGTGGATGATATCATATATAGGGACAAGGTCCAAGCACCAATTACATCCATTTTTATGGGGTCTCAATTTATTTGACAAAAATGGAAATGAAAAATCAAAAATGGAATGAACACTAAGCTGTGCTTAGTGTTTACCTTTGAAAATATTTCTTGGGCATTACTGTTGCGGATTGAGGTCACAACAACTGAAAGATGAAGAAATTCAATTCTTTTATGAAAGTTATAAACCAAAATTGTAAAACACAACAATCAGCCTGGGGACAAGGCCAGAAATGCTCTTTGGATTTCTATAGTTAGAAATTGTGTGATAGAAAAAAGGCAACAATAAATGAAACAGCAACTCAGCAAAACTCCCCTTGACACACTCTCCAGCACATATATGATGAAGGACGAAAGGCAACTGACAACAATTTAATCAAGAAATGAGGTTTCATCATTTTCTTGAGTTGTCCTTCAAGTTCAAGTACAGTACTGGAAATAAAAGAGGTGTAGTTTGAGAAGTTTGGGATTGGCCTATAAAAGCTGCAATCAAAGATATTGCGTCACCTGTGGAGAGATTTCCTGGTTCATTGAATTTTCACCTGCTTTATCCTCTTGACTACAGTAGTTTTATCTCTTGATTAATTTTCCTTATTGATTAATCAAGTGTGTGGTACAGTTTCCTAACAGTTAATGTACAAGGATACCTTACAGTCACTGAAACACGTGGCGAACTATGAGTTGCCTCTTTCACTTTTCATTTGTTCCAATTACAGTACATACTCGTATGCTGATTGTGCAAAAGTGGCATTCTCACACAAGGAATAACAAAGACATTGTCTCTACCAGAAGATTTATGTTTCATCAAAAAGTAAAATTCATCAGTCAATCAAGAATACGTTTACAACTGACACAATTGAGTCACTTAGAGTAGGTTGGATCATAGGAGAAAAAAAATGTCAGAGCGGGTCAAATAAATTATTCTTGCTTTCAGAAGATATCCCCAGCAAGAAAATAAGCAAAAAGGGACACAGTTCTGGTGGTGTTGCAACATATGTTGAAGAAATTGATGGGTGGACCTCACAAAGAATTTTAATTCACTCAAATATTCTTTGGGTCATGTTTTCTCATTTACTAGGTGAAACTTTTGTGATAGGTAATATTTACAGGCAACGAGGTTTAGAGAACAGATTAGATCACAAATTTGGATGGGTGGGTGTGTGCATACATGTTGGATGTCTAGTTTTATATTGCAGAGTGTGTTCTCCCTTTTGTTTTTTTGTCATTGGTTTGTCCTTTGTTTCATGCTTTGAAGTGATTGAATGTCTTTGGGGGGTCTCTTTTGTTTTTTGTCATTGGTTTGTCCTTTGTTTCATGCTTTGAAGTGATTGAATGTCTTTGGGGGGAGTTGGGTTGGGTGGGGAGGGGGTTTGGATGCGGGAGTCTTGGTTGTGCCCCGTGAACGCTGAAAAGCGGCAAATAAAGTGCTCTGTTCATTCATTCATTCATTCATTCAGAAGATATTAAAACAGTCATTCAAACCTGTTCTTATGTGTGCTTTATTTCCTTGTGACTCTAGGATGAAATATCAGCAGTTTGAAACACACTTGCAAATCATTACAGAAGTTAAAAGAGTTTATTCTGTCTCTGTGATACTAGATGAAAGAAATCCCAAGATTGAGTCCAGACTGATGAGAATGTGACTTATTTATCTGCTTGATACTGGTCATTGTTGTAATCATTTTTGGGGGTATTATTGTGAAAGAAAATAATGCATTTGTGGACTGTTGAAGATATTCAGCAATATAATATAAATGGCACAGATTCAATATACTCTGCATTCATCCAATCAAGCATTAGACTGTAGTGTGACCTGGGCAACCATTTTAAACTGCTCCATGAAATTTTTTTGCCTTTGATTTTCTGTTAATATATTGTCTTTAAATTATGCTCAAAAATTAACTTGCTGGGGTTCAATTCATTGACTATGAAAGGCCAGTAACTGCTCAAGTGTGAAGCTTTTGATGGAACTCACAATGCCTCAAGTGTTTTGCTCTGTGAAGCAAAACGCTTGCAATTTTCTTCAAATCAATAAATCAATCCTGAATGTACCGTGATGCGCAGATCAATATGGAAGCTCAGAGGAGTCAAGGAAAAAGTTTATCTAGCATCATCTGATTTTGCTGATGATTACTTATTGGCTTACAGGGAAATGTTTTCATATGAACAGTAAACAACTCAATACAGTTTTTCATTAGTTACTTCCTTTCACTCATTATATAGTGAGGAGCTACACATTTTACTTTAGGGAGAAATTAATTATAAATGAGCTTCATACGCCTGTGCATATGATTAATATCAGCTTTTATCTCAGCAACTGGATTTTGGTGCAAGGTTTCATAAAAGTAGAATGCTAAGACTTTGGGATTTGGGAATTACACTGAAATTTCTGCATTCACCCTAGATTACATGATATACTGTGAATGTAATTTTAAACCTATTTTTGGTAACCCTTGTAGATGGGGTTTTCAGTGGTTTGATAACTGTACAATTTCGAACTTTTTGTGAAAATTAAAAGCCAGGCACTGCGTATGCAATGTCATGTTCACCTCCAAGTTCCAAAAAAGAGATATTTTTAAAATTCAGTCATTAAAATTTGCACATGTTGAAGACTCAACCTTGAATGCAGTCAACCCCCACACAATGGACTTGATTTGTGCTGCAACAGATTGGTCTGTTGTGTGAAAATTCTGTTATGAGAATGCAATTATTAAAAAATTAAAATTTTCGCTTTTTACCATTAAATTCTAAACCAATTTGTTTTTTTAAGGCAAATGGATCCAACTTCTCCTGAATACACCGTTTCTCAAAGAAAAAATCCATCTCATCATGTTGTCAATAAGGCTCAAGACCTTTGCAAACCTTGGGTTAAAATTGCAAGGTGAAAAAGAAGAAAAAAAAAAAAACGAATCCTTCGTGTCCATCAGGCAAATGAAATGATTTACCCGCTGGGTTTCTTGCCGCGGAACCCGACGAACCCATCGGCGCCCTTCTTGCCGCGGAAGGCGGAGAAACCGTGTTCCGAANACGCTGAAAAGCGGCAAATAAAGTGTTCTGTTCATTCATTCATTCATTCATTCAGAAGATATTAAAACAGTTATTCAAACCTGTTCTTATGTGTGCTTTATTTCCTTGTGACTCTAGGATGCAATATCAGCAGTTTGAAACACACTTGCAAATCATTACAGAAGTTAAAAGAGTTTATTCTGTCTCTGTGATACTAGATGAAAGAAATCCCAAGATTGAGTCCAGACTGATGAGAATGTGACTTATTTATCTGCTTGATACTGGTCATTGTTGTAATCATTTTTGGGGGTATTATTGTGAAAGAAAATAATGCATTTGTGGACTGTTGAAGATATTCAGCAATATAATATAAATGGCACAGATTCAATATACTCTGCATTCATCCAATCAAGCATTAGACTGTAGTGTGACCTGGGCAACCATTTTAAACTGCTCCATGAAATTTTTTTTGCTGTTAATATATTGTCTTTAAATTATGCTCAAAAACTAACTTTCTTGGGTTCAATTCATTGACTATGAAAGGCCAGTAACTGCTCAAGTGTGAAGCTTTTGATGGAACTCACAATGCCCCAAGGGTTCTGCTCTGTCAAGCAAAACACCTGCAATTTTCTTCAAATCAATAAATCAATCCTGAATGTACCCTGATGCGCAGATCAATAGGGAAGCTCAGAAGAGTCAAGGAGAAAGTTTATCTAGCATCATCTGATTTTGCTGAAGATGATTAATTATTGGCTTACAGGGAAATGTTTTCATATGAACAGTAAACAACTCAATACAGTTTTTCATTAGTTCTTTCATCCTTGCACTCAGTAGTGAGGGGCTACACATTTTAATTTAGGAAGAAATTAATTATAAATGAGCTTCATACACCTGTGCATATGATCAATATTAGCTTTCATCTCAGCAAGTGGATTTTGGTGCAAGGTTTCATAAAAGTAGAATTCTAAGACTTTGGGATTTGGGAATTACACTGAAATTTCTGCATTCACCCTAGATTACATGATATACTGTGCATGTAATTTTAAACCTATTTTTGGTAAACCTTGTAGATGGGGTTTTCAGTGGTTTGATAACTGTACAATTTCAATCTTTTTGTGAAAATTAAAAGCCAGGCACTACGTATGCAATGTCATGTTCACCTCCAAGTTCCAAAAAAAGAGATATTTTTAAAATTCAGTCATTAAAATTTGCACATGTTGAAGACTCAACCTTGAATGCAGTCAACCCCCACACAATGGACTTGATTTGTGCTGCAGTGGACTGGTCTGTTGTGTGAAAAGTCTGTTATGAGAATGCAACTGTTACAAAATTAAAATTTTCACTTTTTACCATTAAATTCTAAACCAATTTGTTTTTTAAAGCAAATGGATCCAACTTCTCCTGAATACACCATTCCTCAAAGAAAAAACCCATCTCATCATGTTGTCAATAAGGCTCAAGACCTTTGCAAACCTTGGGTTAAAATTGCAAGGTGAAAAAGAAGAAGAAGTTTTTTTGCTTAGGAAGCACAGGTAGTCCGTTTACTTTACTAAATGGGCGACCCAAAGAACGGCGCCTTGGGCTGCTTGGGTAGCCGCGGGAAGAACGGCGCCTTCCGCCTCTTTGGCACAAGGCTTCGGCGGCCGCGGAACCCAGAGAAGCCGTAATAGTCGTCCTCCGCCGCCGCGGCGGCTTTTTTGCCGCGGAACGCGGAAAACCCGAGACTGTCGTCGCTTTTCTTACCTCTGAAAGCGGCGAATCCGTTCTTTTTGCCTCTCAACGGGAATTGCCTGAAGAATTAAAGAAAAATTGAATTAGACAGTGCTTCACAGGAGTCTGTAAGATATATTTTCCCCTTAAATATTATTTAAAATCGTGCCTGGATTCAATATACTGTACAGCTGTCTTTGTGAGAAGTTTTTAACGTCCAAATCTAACTGTTAAATAATTGTGTTCAGGAGTGTAAAGCTGTGCAGAATGGCGAGTAATCCTCAACAAATTTAGTAAGTAAGTTGAATGTAACTACAGTTGAACGTTTCCTCAATCAAATACAGCCTCAATTAAATTTTTTTTTTCAAATCTTCATCTGAATTATCTGTTGGGCATGCACGTTAATGTACAATATAATTCTTAGAAGTTCGTAGAAATAACCTCCCCTCCTCAAAATCGCGGTGCCAGGCATATCCTGGTACCGGCTATGGTGACAGGATACACCTGGCACCGTAGCATCCTCAACAATAACTTTTCTGCTTTGATTTAGAGTAATAAAACCTTATGAAGGTTAATTGTTGAGAATACTATATAAGCTGCATCCTAAAACATTACTATCATCAGAACAAGTTGCGATTCAGTTGTGCGTTTATTCCAAGTTATCCAAGCCCGAGCTCGTTGAGTTGTTATTCGTTTATTCTCGAAATATATTTTGCTGTTAACTTAGGAATTCCTAAAAGGAATTCCCAGTCCTGTCCCGGACTGAGTTACTTGTTTCATTTATCCAAACACTCAACACCAAATTATATTGGAGACTTCTGTCCTCAATATTATCTTAAGAGCAATCAATTAAAAGCCTCCATAAATTTAAGTATTTTTCTCTCAAACCTTCATAAGTTGAATTTTATTAAAGCTTTTGCCCAACATTTTCTTGACAAATGAAAGAGAACGCAATAAAGCAAGTGATTTGATGCATCTTGAAAGGAAGTGGGAGACTAAATTAATAAATGAACCCTTGTCTCCAAGTTCAGCATACACATAAGAATAGCAAGTTAAGGCCCAGAACATCCCATTTACAGTTGCCTGCATTTATTTTATGCCACCCTGCAACAAAAATTCATGTTTCCTACTTGACTCAAAACCTCCCAAAATGAAAATCTCCTTAAGTGAAAACCTCCCTAAGTTGAATTTTTTCTGGTCCTTTTCAAATTTGACTTAGAGGGGTTCAACTGTATTTGAAATTGCTAATTTTTGTGCAGTCTATGTCCAAATTATGTTCAAGAATTCTAGCTTAATTGCAAATCAGACCCTCAAAAGCCCACAGACAAAAGGGGTTAAAATTACCAACACCAATTATAATGGAGAAAAGAGGATATATCTTTGTAACTCAGCATATTTCAGCTGCAATTCTTCATAGAGCTGATGAATTTTTTTTCTCCATGTACCATTTTTTCTTCTCATGCTGACAATAACATGAAAAACCAATCATGAAAAAATATCCCATTTTATGTGAGATCAGAAGGGTGTTTTAGTTATTCTACTTTATTCTATAAAGTATAATACAATGCTAAAACACCCTTGTGATCTCACATAAAATGGGATAAATGCAACTACAATAGACACAAACAGGAGGGAAATCCAACCAATTTGATTGACTGATGAGTTGAAGGCTTTTTCATTCTCTTGATTGTTTTTTTCATGCTATTGTCAGCATGAGATGAAAAAATGGTACATGAAAAAAAATAAATGCATCAGCTCTATAAAGAATTGTAAAAAAATCCTCCATTGATTATAAGTGAGCTTTTTTGTTTTGGCAATTCTGAAAGTGCTGAACAATATTATCTTGTTCTATACTGTAAGCCATTGCAATATATTCAGAAAATAATTTTTCCCTATCTCAAAAAACTCCGTTTTACAGCAAGCTGACCTGATGTAAATACAGTATTATATTGTTGATAGATTTGCTGAGGAACCTCAAAATTGTTATAAAAATCTCCATCAATATGAGACAGTTAAGGTGAGATTCTCCAGTAATAAAAGGGAAGAAATTACCCTTTTGGGATTGCTAAACTCGGTTCTGACAGCAGCCCATTGATTGCTGCTGATTCATCATCAAAACCAGACATTTCTCCAGAACCTTGCAAGTCCTCTCCAAGCTCACTGTCATCTGGTCTTGATAAATACCTGCAAAAAAGAAACATTTTCAAATCAGGATGAGAAGAGTGGTATCTGGTTTGTCACGGGCCAAAGCGACGCAGCTCCAGCATCCCGCTGAAACCGGACCCCAAAACTTGTAGGATTTCCAAGGCCTGTGAGCCTCGCAAAAATCCCGTTTTTGCAAGACTCACTGAGCCACACTCAAGGACAAGAAGTGGTTTTCACTTCTTTGATTTTGCCTGAATCGGCCAATCCTGAGCCAAGAAGAAATCACCTGATTTCTTCCTGACCCAGGCCAAGCACCTGGGTATAAAAACCCTCATTCCTCTTTGAGAGGAGAAGTCAAGAAGTCAGAACCTAGTGTTAAAGGGCCTTTTAACCTAAATTAAATTAATCAATCTTTATTCTGAGCTAACCAACCAATTCAACCATTGACTCTGCCATTACAACCATTGAATCAACAGCCAATTGATGAAAGGCAATGAGAATGAACTCCTCTGATAAAGAGTTTGAGTTCTTATTCAAAAATTGCATTCTGATGGCTGTACAATTCAATTCCTTTGTCTGGGATCCAATGGACCCATGACATGGCTTATGGTTCATCAGGTTTTTAAGTTTGTTTTGTTGGTCTTTCTCTGCCTTTTACAATTTGATGGATTTTGAGATGGGTGGCTGAAAATCAAACTCATGGAGTGATAGTTGATGATTTTCTGACAACTGTTTCAAATCTTGTCCACTAAGGATTCTACCATACATGATATGAATATACTTGATGCACTTCACACATGAATATCATCAATGTTGTTGCAGGTTGTGTGGAGGAAAGAAGATCACTTAGTCAACAAAAAGGAGAAATAAACAGAAAAAGTCAAATCAACCTGCTGGGACTTGCTGGGAGTTTCAGGAAAAACTGCACTAAAGAAAGTATAGTTTATTGAATTGTCCCAACAAAACAGAATCAACTTCAGTGAATAATTGTAGGTAAAAAGGAATGCAGATAGAATCAATTCAACACACTTCACAACTTTTCAACTTGAGTTTGAAAGGATTTCACAGAGTTTTGCAGTGGAATGATTGTTTTCTCATAATTTTGGTGGCAAGGGACATTTAGTTGATTTCCTTGAGGGTTGGATTCTGGCCTCTGGTTGGATGATTTCAATCGAGTCAAAGAGGATGCACAGCATTATTTGTATTAGAGGTTTGGAGAGGGCTTGATACCTGTTTTTTTTGTGGTTAAGGGGATTATTTTTAGTTACTTTAGTTAATTATCAGCTGTGCCCCGGAGTCTGTAACAGGTTGTATTTCCCTTTGACTTTTGAACATTGATTAAAGAAAGCTTTAAAAATTTTAAAAAATAATTTAGTTCATATATTAACATACTGTATATAAAAGTCAGACAAAAAGGAGTAGCAAACATAAATTTGAATTTGAACTCCATAAATGTGAATGTATGAGGAAATACCTTCCATCTTCTCAATAACTGTACCTATATGAACTCAATTTTAAAATAAAATGGGGGCTTGGTAAAATAATTGTTTCAGAATAATGTTTATTGTTAGATGGATTGGGATTTCTAGCAATGCCAAACCTAACCTTATTTGATTTCAAGTTTTTGATCCTAAACAACTTTACAGGTTGGGTCCCTGTATTTTTTCATTGAAGGAACCCTAAAAAAATGCAGTTTTGCAACAGAGCTTAAAGAAATTAGATATCATAAGGGAATTTTAAAATTGCTATTTATGCTGTATATATAGTCATAAAAATATGACTGCACTATTTTTATTAATTTAAAAACATCCCTTCTGACAATATGATAGAATCTGGAAACCCAAAGAATTGCAACAAATGTTTTTCTATTTCTCAAATTTAAATTTAAACTCCAAATGGTGATTGATGACTAAAAGTGCTCAATCAAAGTAAATGTTATTATTTGCGCCAAGTGTGCATGCAGTTTTATTTAATTTTTTTAGACAAGGAATAAACCCAAACTTTACCAAAACACTGTACAGTATATTGTCTCCGCCTCCCAATATAAGAGATGTCACATCCAGTTTAAAATGGTTTCATACATACTGAATCAGAAAATTGGGGTTTATTCCAAGATTAATTTTCTTCACCGCGAATGTTTGAAACAAAACCTTTGAACTGTTACTCTAGGAATACATCAAACATTTGTTATGTGACATTTAATTTGATTTTTTTTTTCGAAAAAAGTGTTGCCAACCTGAGCATGAAGTTGCGGAAAGACCCGCGGTCGATCGGACTGCGTTTGCCTCGTAGAGCGATGAATCCACTTGGCGGCCGAAACGTTCTGATGGGCGCCGAATGCGAGCTGGCTTCCGCGAAAGCCGCCGAAATGGCGGTCATCACCAGGAAGCACACTGTGATTGCCTTCTGCATCTTCATTATTGACAGCACGGAAAGACACTGCGAATACTGTTCTGTACTTTTTCTGCACTGGGCCTGAGAGCAGAAAAATCTCAAATCTATTTAAAGAGAGAAATTCAGCAGCGTGGTGATGAGAGCCGAGAGTTTTTTGCCTACTTCTCGGGGTCTGAAGAAATAAATAAAAATGTTTTCAATTGTTTGTGGGTTTCAAATTGTGGGCAAATACCTGAGGTAAAATACGAGTTCACGAAAAATACCAACTAAAGGTAAATTCATCGAAATGTACCAAGGTACAAATGCAAGCGTTGATCGCCCTGAGGCTGAAGAAACATACAGAAGGTCAAGCAAAATGGCAAATCAAATTTTTTTTTACAATTTGTATAAAATGAGGAATTGGCGTGACAGCCAAAAAACAAAATTCCCCTTTGCTTACTAAGCTGGAACGTCATTTTTTTTTACATGCAACATTCTACATATTTCTTCACAAAAATTACTTGGGTTTAGTGTTTCTATACAGTTTTAAAATTTTACTCATTGTTCTTATGACAATGAGATCTTGAAAATTTTGAATCATTGCATGAAGAATAAGGGTCCAAAAATGAGATTGTCTCTGTACAGTGAGACCCCCACATGTGGACACCTTGACATGCAGAAAATTCAACATAGGGACACTTATTTTCCCATAAAAAATTAATAAAAAAAGTCCAGACATGAGGACACTGACTCAACCTAAGGACATTTTGTGATGAAATTGCAAATACATTTCAGGCCAAATTACAAATATAGAATCAGGTATTAGGAACAGATATTTCCAACCCTAAAATTGATGTAAGAGAAGTTCTTGGGCATTTCTCTCACCAATTTTTAATCCTTTTAGCTAAATTAAAAACATTATATTGGGTTGCACCAAGCCCCTTGTAGCATCTTTGAGGAGGAATTAAGAAAACCTGTACCAGGCACCAATGGACATGGATGGGCAGGATGGAAGCTCCTGCTACCTTCAGCCAAAAGTGCCAGCTGCCAAAACTGGTTTGCAAGTAGCCTTGGCCAAAGTTGTAGAGGAAGCCAGTGGAACCCAGAAATGGACACTTGCTGACTTCACTAGTGGGAAGAAGCATCTTTCAGAGATCTCCAATTGTGTTGTTTGCTACCCCAATTGTTCTGATTGTGTACCTGATCTGTTTTGTTGAAAGATTGTGTGTGTGTGTGATCTATCTTGGTTGTTTTCCTGACTTGTGTGTTGAAGCATTAGATAAACAGAGATTCTTGAGACTCCTGTAAGGAGGATCTGGCCTTGTAAAGGCTGATTAACTTGCGTACTTTTTTCCATCATTCTTTGTGGATTTCTGGCCCAACACATTACCTCTAGCATAGAGGGACTTCCTTCTCTCTTTTTCACTTCAATGTTATTTTTACAGAGAATGCCAACATTTCTATGTACTGTAACACAGAGGTATCAGTTTTCAATTCCTCAAATGTTCACATCATGTTGAAATATATTGATTGAATCAGTTTGAATTGGGAGATAATTTTTATTCTCATGGAATTAGGATGAGTATTTTGTCCATAAAACACCAATTAAAATTATACAATGTGAGTCTAAGGGAAAATTAGACTCAACTTAGGGACATCTTGACTTAGGGACATCTTGATTCAGGGACTCTCTTGATGCACCAATTATGTCTGCATCTGGGGATCTCACTGTATTTTCAATTACGTGTTTCTAATTTTGCATCTATTTTTACACATTGTTAGGAAAAAATTGGTGGATACATTTAATTCAGCATTAATGACATTTTATGCAAAGTACACACAACTTTTCGTTTTTTCCATCCTTTCATTGAATTTTTTACAAATTTAAAATACAAATTTAGTGCAGACTGCTGACGCCAATTGAAGCCACAATGAATAACTGGTGTCGCGAATTTTTTAGTTCTATTTTTAGAGATGGCAGTTTGAGAACCCGAATTCTCGTCCTTGAGGACAAATTCCACTCTCACGTAACTTACGGAAGCCTCCAAGGCTACATTTCTCTGCTAATCTTACTTTCTCATCCTTGTAGGACTGTTTTCCTGCTCTCCAAAATAACAATAATTATTACAGTCCGTTTTCTACCTCTTGAGCGTGCGGTTCATCCAAGACTTTGCAAGCAAATTCATTTGAGTGTCAATTGTTGCTTTCCTTGAATATATCAACGTTATAATAGGGTGTTCTCACCCCGGTCGCAGCCCAACCGAATTTCTGCGTTTCATTCAAACTTTCATACTCAATTTCTCCTTTGAATAAGGTTCACTGCCTAAATCTTCATTTGTTGGGTTTTATTCCTGACAAAATTTGGTAGCAGAGCGTGGTTTCACGTCTCTTTAAAAACTAAAAAGCTTCTTTAGTCCCTATAAGTACAAACCTCTTTTCATTTATATACATAAGTGCAACTCCAATCGCTTAAAAGTGCTCAGGATATCTAAATCTGCGTGTCCAATTCTACCCTCTCAGTATACTTCCTCTTCGAATTGACAAGTGTTTATATTCTTCAAGTGTATATCTAACTGTATTATATCTAACTGTATTATACATTCGAATTAACAAGTGTTTACATTCTTCAAGTGTATATCTAACTGTATTATACATTCGAATTGACAAGTGTTTACATTCTTCAAGTGTATATCTAACTGTATTATATATTCGAATTGACAAGTGTTTATATTCTTCAAGTGTATATCTAACTGTATCATATATTCGAATTGACAAGTGTTTTATATTTCTAAAAAACAAGTGCATAAACTTCTAAGTGTATATTATATTCCCCAAGTGTATTGTTCCCATCTGCGTACTTTCATTCTCTGACCTACTAGGTCATCAAAAGGAAACATCCGAAAACTCATTGTTGGAATAGGACACACCCAACAAGCAAAACCTTTTTTAAAAGAGTTAAAACTCTCAATTTTAAAATGGCACGAGGAAGACCTAGAGGTTCAAGAACCTCAAGAAATCCCACCTCTCGAAGTATCGTCCGACCTCAAAGGTCAACTACCGTAAATAGACTACAAACAACTCCTGTTCGTCGCCCAATTCCTTCCAGACTTATCACCCCTAGAGCAACTTTAATTACCAAAATTGTCCTCGTTGCCAGAGCTGTCCT